TCACTGGAGGGTATAGACCAGTTTAGGGTTGTCAAAGGCACATGAGCAGCATGTGGCCCTAACTATGCACTGGTACTACGGACAGTTAGTTGAGAAACACATTGGTCTTAGACAAACAGGAAATTAAAATAAAAGAAAAAAGGAAAAAAAAAAAACCAAACACCTGGTTCTTCAAATAGTTTGAGAAGCCCTGATCTACTCTACCCTCATTTGAATTCTCAGAAAATTTTCCATCTCAGATGGGAAAGAACACTGAGGGTGTCATTTTTTGCCTGCCTCCATCAGACAATAAATACAGAAAGAATTTTGAGATTTGTTCAAGTTTACATTTATAAATTTAGTACATGTTTTAATGACGCTGTTATATAAAAGGATTTCAATATGATATATATAAGTTGTTGCCCTTACTGCATGAAAACACGATGCTTACTCATTTAAAGTACGTAAAAAATACCTACATATACATCATTCCAGAACTTTAAATTTTCAGTTTCACCCCCCAAAAGAAAGCCTTTTTACAAAAGGCTAAATACAATGAGAAATATTTAACTTACATTTTTATTTTGTAAGACACACTCTCTATCCCTCAAAATCAGTTTTCCAGAATCTAACTCCTTGTTTTGTCTTTAAAATGATTTGGAAAGTGATTTAAATCAGATCAGAAACCATACCAAAAGAAATTTGAAGAAATAACTTTCCATGTGATTGAGGAAATCAAAATATGTCTAAAATAATACAGTGATAATGAATATATCTACCATCACAAAGGAAAAAATGAGACAGTCCGTATATATTGATTTTCAACACAAATGATGTATATCCCTTTAAAGACTTTTTTTTTAATGGGACTCTTCCTAAAATGCAGTACAAACTTCTCTGTAAAACAGCATTACAGACATGAGTCAGAAAACGTTGTTAAGAACTGTAAAGTCTGAAACAGAGACCCATCATAGTGTGATTAACTGAAATATAGAAAGCTGTTCATTCCCAAGTCTGGCCTTAGAATGCTGCTGGGCTTCTGGGGTCTCTTCTCCAGTTCCCTTCCTAGTAAATTTCTGAGGAGACACTTGCAATTGCCTCCATCATCTTTTCTTACCTTTCCTTTCCCTTTTTTTTTTTGATGAGGAAGATTGGCCCTGAGCTAACATCTGTTGCCAATCTTCTTTTTGCTTGAGGAAGATGATCCCTGAGCTAACATCCATGCCAATCTTCCTCTACTTTATATATGGGATGCCACCACAGCATGGCTTGATGAATAATGCATAGGTCCACGCCTGGGATCCGAACCTGCAAACCCTGGGGTGCTGAAGCAGGGTGTGCGAACTTAACCACTATACCACCAGGCCAGCCCCTCTACCTCTTCATTTTTAAAAATTTATTTTCCTAGGTAACTACAGAGAGGGCAGAACTGCAGAGAAGAAACGCACCTACACCCATGCATGCCTGCACACACACGCACGCAGGCACACATGCACATCAGCTTTAAATCACTAAGCTAAATTCACACACAATTCCAAGCCAATGGAGTTTGCCTTTTCTTGAGCATGCAGTGCTCTCCTGGCTCACTGGGCTTTTTCTGCCTGCTTCTGAGATTCATTACAGTGGCTGAGGCTGGAAGTATGATGGCTGGATAAGTGAGGCATTACTTGAGCTTCTATCATTCTGATAAGAATTCTATGAGGCAGAGAAAAGCATATGCCATTATCCTCATCTTTTTTTTTTAAAATGGAGAAACTGCAGCACACAAGGAAAGTTAAGTTACTTGCCCAAGGCACCAAGCAAATTAGTGTCAGAGAATGCAGGTCTTTAAAACCCCTGCTCTTCTCCTCATCAGACAACAACACTGCCTTCCCTCTTCTCCAGTCTTTCCCACATATATTTTATTCAAGTACGGTATATATCTAAATTGTGCTTCATGTGCATGCATTTCCAGACACCTCAACCAAATCATCAAATTACAATTTCCTATTGTTTTCTTTGAAATGTCAGCTTTTGAAATGATACTCATAAATCTTTGAAACAAGAAATTAGTAGGAAAAGGACAGAAAGGACAATTGGAAGCAAAAAATAAGAGCAGTTTCAATGACTTTGCTTGGGTAAAAAATCAGAAGATTAAAAAAACCAACAAAAACCCCAATCCTGGGGTGCAGGAACGTTCTTTCTTACGGACAGTGTTTTGCCTCTGTGCCTCTTCATGCAGTAGGTGGAGCTATAGCACTATTCATTAGGGTTACAGGCTGGCTACAAGTGAAAAAGAATTCAATCTGTTTCTAGGATATCCATTTTCTTTTGCATTTTCAAATGGACCTTTTCTGTTTTTAAAGCATTTTTTCTCCACGCCCTGAGAACTTTCAGGCTGTACTACCTACATCCATTTTTTTCTGGAATTATCAAGAGTTACCACCTTTGCTGCATATACTTTCAATGCCATTCTGGGGAGGATATTAGGAGATACAGTTGCACAAAGCAGCCTGCCTTCCTTTGCCCCATCACTCAAAAGGTTTCCTTTATAATCTATCAAATTTATTTTTTAGCTTGGAAACAGGATTCTCCTGCAACTGAAAATTTTCCAGAACCACCACTGGCATATGTCTTTAAGGTTTCAGTTACAACACAGCAGAAATAATTGTTAATAACCTCTCATAAAAACATACTATTTGTAGGAATTAAAAATAGAACAAAACAAATGTATTCAAAAATAAGGAATTAAAATCCAAAACTAGTAATTAATTTTGAGTAGGAAAAAAATTCATCCTTAAGAGTATATAGGAATCAAAGCGGGTTCCCTTTACATAGGTGGCACTGTGTCTAATATTACTGTGAGGGTTAATTTTATGTGTCAACTTCACTGGGCCACAGGATGCCCAGATATGTGGTTAAGCATTATTCTGGGTGTGTCTGTGAGAGTGTTCCTGGATGAGATTAACATTGGAATTGGTGGACTGAATAAAGCAGACTGCCCTTCCCAGTGTGGGTGGGCCTCACCCAATCTGCTGCAGGGCTACACAGAACCAAAAGGTAGAGGAAGAGAAAACTCATTCTCTCTGCCTGACTGTCTTGAGCGTGGACATTGGTTTTCTCCTGCCTTTGGACTTGGATTTGGACTCAGACTAGGACTGGAGCTTACACCATCTCCTGGTTTTCAGGCCTCTGGACTCAGACTGGAACCATACCACGGGCTCTCCTGAGTCTCCAGCTTGCCAACTGCAGATCGTGGGACTTCTCAGCCTCCATAACTGTATGAGCTGATTCCTTATAATAAATCTCTCTCTCTAAAATATATATATATTATCATAATATACATTATATGTATTATATATTACAATATATAATATATACAACACATATACTATTGGTTCTGTTTCTCTAGAGAACCCAGACTAATACATTTATGAATTTCATTGCTTTGGTATAAATGAAGCAAAAAAAAAATGTTGACATAATATCAATTCCTTTCTAGGTTACAACACCATACTTGAATTTTTTTGTAAACAACAGGTATAGTTTCCAAACCTACTTACATAAATAAATCTCACCTTTTTATCGTTGACTCTGTAAATAAATGCCAACATGATGACAAAAGAAAATAAGGCGATTGCCTCTGTCTTCTTGCTGTCTGGAAAAGGTCCCCCCTAGACCTCACATGATGACCCACATGATGCCTTTATCCACCCACTACTGAAAAAATATTCACAGCTTTTACCAAAAAAATGGCTGTGATTTACCTTATTTGTAACTTCAAAGATACAGAATGACTATAAATAATTATAATATAGATTTATAATGTGAGACAGGGGACTTCAAATATACAAAATTCATCAAGTAGGAAATTTATTTATTTACCTTAATGAAACATCTTAGAGAGTTTTTCAGGCTAGAGTATCTAACTAAACAAATTTACTGAGTGCCTACTATGTCCTAGGCTGGGGAAACAAAAGGTGTGGTCTGTGAACTGTTTGTTACTGTCTACAAAGAAGATAAGCAGCTAGAGCCAGAATGTAAATCAGCTTTATCACCAAGCACACATTTTTTCCCAAGAAGAGTTTTTCAAAGAAGGAAGGAGACTGTTGATTTACATCACGGCACAAGTTCCTTATCTCTTTGCAGCTGGCCACTTTGAGTAGCATTGTTCTAGGCAATTCTAGGTGCTTTCACATGTGTTATTTTGTTATTTATAATAGCTAACATTTATTCAATTCTTATTATGTGCCCACCTTGTACCACATTTAATTCTCACAACAACACTGTGAAATAAGCACTATTATTATCACTCCCCTATAAACGAGAAAAGTGACGCTCAAAGTTTTCACAGACAGTAAGTAGCAAGCCGGGATATAAACTAGGCAGTCTGGCTCTAGAGCATGCTCTTATTCACTACACTGCTTCTCTTAGATGTGAGTCCTCGATTCAGTGATGCAGACACACTTGTCTCCGTTTTAGTTGAGAGACATGCTCCTAGATTATGTGTTGCCCAAAGATAGGGTTCATACCTAATTCATCTCGGCAGGTTCTCTCTGGCAGCCTCTAATCATGTCCTCAAGCTCACAGGCATTGTGCAGAAATGCAGAAGGGTCATGAAACATGGTCTCTACCCTCATGAAGCTCATTTCCTCATGGAAGAAATACTACCAGTAACTAAACAGAGCAAGAGGTGAAAGGGCTGCCCTGCCTAGGGCTTGGAAGACTGAATGTGAGAGCCAGCTTCTACCATCTGCCCACTCATGAGATACAGGAAGAGGGACAAATAGGTAACTTTCTCAATGACAAGGTCTATATGGACTCCCCGTGGGGTCTGCTTCTGCCTTGGGGAGAAGGCATGGGGGACCCAGCAAGGAAGTAGACAAGTAGGATCCCACAGAAAGCAAAGTCAAGGGTGGTTTATAAATTCAGCTCTCCCAACACAGGGTTGAGAGCTTCAGAGTCCAGGTACCAACCACTCAGTTGGTTTTCCATAGAACTGACCTTTATGATGTTTGAATAAAATAGCCAATGATGCTAACCCAAATTTGAAGGTCATTATAGCCAAAGTCTTGGGATTTTGGCAGCTGTGTTTCTTGGGTGGGCAGCTGCCTAAGAGCAAATCCTTCAAGGTCACGGCAGAGTCTTCAGGGTGGTAGAGACTGCAGTGGCAACAGTAAAATAGGCTCATAAAGTTTAGGAGGAGTCTTTGCAATACATGTTTCCTAGAATAGAATAGTAAAATGTTAAGAGCGAAGATTTTGAAGTCTAGCAGGCCTGGTTTAAATGCCCATTCTGTCCCTTGCAAACAGTGTGACTATGGACAACTTACCTAACCTCTATAAACCTCAGTTTACTCATCTGTAAAATCAGGATAATAAATATCCACCTTGAGGAGTAAACTACAAGCTACATGTAAGGTACTTAGCACAGAAACCTGGCACAAGATTTAACAATAAAAATAACAACTGACAGAGTCCTTACTGTGTGTCCTACTAATTAGAGTCCTACTAAGTAAGCTCTCACACCTATTAACTCATTTATTATTCGCAGTAACCCTATGAGGCAGCATGGTGGACTACATTATTATTCACAAATATGCCCTGCTCCTTTCCCTGTGGAAGGAGAATACATCCCTGCTCCAATGACTCTCTGGGGTCAGCCATGACCCTAGAGTCTAGGGCCTAGACTTTTACCAATGGAACCGAGCAGATGTGACCCATCCCAGCAGAAGTTCTAAGAGGCACCCAGAGTTTCCATCACAATACTGACCCTGATGACGGCATGTAAACCTGAATCCTGGAATGAAAAAGACAGAGTAGAGCTGCAGCCTACCCATAACCTACATGTACCATGAGCAAGAAATAAATGGTTGTTGTCATAGACATGGAGATTTGGGGATCCTTTGGTGCTCTTAATATCCTCATTTCCAGCTGGGGAACTGCAATAATGATGGTACCCAGGCCTGGGAGATACAGATCTTGCACATTTAAATTAAATTTTAAAATCTCTGATTTTTCTCATTGGGCTGTTCCAAGAAAAGGACTACATTGTGATTAGTCACTAGACTAACTCAGAAAAGGTTTTAACAGGTCTTCTCAGGGCTCTAGGATTTGTACTGAGTGGTATTTGGTATTTAAAACATCAGAAAATCCAGTTTCAAGTTTGTAATTTAATATAAAAATATCGCATCTGAATTTTTACTTCTTTGCCCTTTTGTACCACATGCTACTTATTACTGTATTATTTTCCATTTGCATGAGTTCCCTGCAACGGCCAGGAACGGGGTGTGGATAAAGCTTGAGGGAGAGGTATGGGGGTTGAGAAGAGATGTTTCAGCTTCAAAATGCTAGTCAAAATTTTTAGCAGTCTAATTCAGCTGGTGTCAGAGAAACTAACCTGTGATAATAGTAAGGACGCTAATGCTGTGTTAATTTTTTTAGTAGAGGAAACAATGACCTGATGATAAGATCTGGAAATAAAATCCTTATCAAGGCAAACAGGGAGGGACTGTGATGCCTGCTAAGAGATTTGGGAACATTGATGGAGGTCCTCCAACTAGGTGTCAGCGGAAACTGGAAACATTTCAGGGCCGGTCAGTTCATGAGACAGAGGGACTCAAGGAGAATCCCAGAAGATCTGAGAGGTCAGGGAATTCAGGCTGATAGAAATGGAGGCAGAAGAGTGGGAGGCAAATTGGAGGGCTTGCAGGATGTGAAGAACACCACTAAAGGTTCTGTTCTAGGGTGCAGAGCAGAGTGCTGCGTCTCTCCAAAAAGTAAGGCCCATTTGGGGAGTTCCTGGGGCAGAGTTCAAGAGACACCAACCGAGTTGAGGCTTAGGTGAATAACTTGTTGAAAATACCATCGTTTTGAACAAAAACTGAGGGCATTGACTAGAAACTCAGCCATAAAAGGACACTACCCATTGACAGAGTTAAATGGGGGGAAGTGAACTTGATGGGGGAGAAAACTAGATTTAAATTAGAGGATGAAAAATAAGAATTCGCCTAGTTTCTTAATTCCAAGAGGCTTTAAAAAAACATTATATGTTACTAAAACTGGGATGTGTATTGGAATCAAAGAAATAAGAGAGCTAGAAAAAAGTAAATTAAAGGGCTGAAGCCTGCTGAACGGAAGCAGAAAAAAAAGGAAAGAGAGGAGACCCAGAAGATTTAAATCAATGTTAAAATAATTAACACAGCACTGTAAATTATAATTTATGTACTTCATCTCGACACTTTATACTCAAAGATTCTTTGATACTGCTGTAAAAACAGAGGGTCCGGTATAATGCCACATGACAATATGGATGGACAAGAAGGCACACCACAAGAGAAAAGGAGTGGTACCCCTGATGCTGAGGGGTCTGGCCTTTGAAGGAGAAAGGCTTCTTCTAATCTCTTAAAAGCAGAGGACCAGCCAGATGACACTTCTGATGAGGGGTGGCCTCCAGGTGGAAGGGGAAGTACCTGATGTTACTGTCTGGTCTCACAGGAGTCAGGGGCTCCCCAGGCCCTCCGCCAATTACTGTGGCTTGAGGCGAAGGACAAAAGGTGATGTGGTAAAAAAAAGATTCCAAAACTGAGAATATTCTAAACAGAAGAAGTGAACTACTAAACAAGACTGTAACTTCAGCATTCTTAAATACCCATGGTGTACTAGAATGACATGTGATCGGCCACCATCTTAACCATGTGCTGAGGAGGCAGAATCATGAAGTTAAAAGTGCGTGGATCGTCAGAGCCTAACAGAACTCAGCTGGGGTCCCAGTTCTGTTACCCACCAAGAAGCCTTGGGAAAGATACTCTTAGAACCTCAGTTTCCTCATCTACAAAAGGGAACTAATAAATACTTCTTATTCCCAAGTGGTTGAGAATATGCTAATATGTGCTGAATAAACATTAGCTTCCTTCCTAAGGGATACGTGATCCCACTGCAGGGGTTACACCTCCAATTTCTAAAAAAAGTCATTGGGAAAAATTAATGTTTCTTAACAATATACTTTACATCCAGCATAACTAAAACGACTTTAAGCAAGAAAAGCTAGTGGAAGGAGTTTTAAATGTAAAATCATTCACTCATTCATTCACTAAATTTTACTGGGCAACTATCATGTGCTAAGCACTGTTTACTCAATTAAAATCTCATTAAAAATTCTAAATTCTAAAAAACATCTATTTAGTAATTCATGTATTAAGAAGTATCAGTGATGATACTACAATTTTGATTATAAGAAATACTGATGCACATCCTGGATGTTATGAGGAATAAAACAATACAAGCTACTCACAAATTAATACCACAGAGAGAACTACTGAATTTTACATTCTATTATTCCTGCTCTCAGCCACAAATCTGATCTGCTGGGCGTGATCTCCAGGTGTTGTAAGGGATGCCAAATCAATGTTCTTGGGCTTATCAATTGGGATTGGTTCTATTTTTCCTCACCTTTCTCTCCCTTACCCAAGGGGCTGTTACTTAAAGTTTACATGAAAAGGAGAGTACTCTTTTAACAAGAATTAACATCCTAACAGCTTCAAAAGCACTTTCTTTTTATCATCAAACTTAAGCCTCACATTAAGTAGGCATTTTCTCCTTTTAAATATAAAGAAACTGGGGTTCCCAGAAAATTAAATCAATTGCCCAAGGTCTTGGTTAATGACAAAGCTGTAAGACATCCAGGATTTCTGACTGAAAAGCTTATGTTCTTTCCTGTGGTTATATGATGAATCAAAAGACCTAATTTATAAGCAGTTCAAGAGTTACCTGAGTTTGGAGGGGGTGGGAAATGCACCGATTATTCACACTAAAAATGCAGCACAGGAGAGCGGAAAAAAAATGAAAGGCTTTGAGAATTACAAACACTGTAGATAAGATTCTCAGTCATCTGAAGGTAGATATTCATTTTATGCGTTATAACAACCTAGTTTCTTATTTCTCTCTCTCTTTTCAAGACAACAGATAGAAGGGGTGGGTGCTGGGCAAGCAGGTGTCAGTTCTACAGAAGGTCTGAATAGGAGAGAAGTAAATGAAGATTTGGTGCACAGATCTAATTGTCAGAAACTTGTTGGTGTTTACAGGTGTTACGTAACCTAATCTATTTAAGAGATTTGCACACAGAGTTAATACTTGGAAAGTTAGGTGTGTTTCAGAATAGCAAGCTATAGGCTGCTTTTATAGCTGGATTATATTTATAGTACTATTCTTTACCTTTCTAAACAACAGTCAGATATATGCCAAAGCAATCCACAGGTACCCCCATAAAAGATCCGAGTTAAGAATATCAGAGACAGTGTTGGCGATGGTAATAAGTCCAGACACAGACAGATGGAATCTCATTTTAATGGGGCAAAAGTCTGAAAACATCTGTTTCTATTTTCCAGACATGATACGAAAATGGAACAATCAATTTATCTAAGTGCTAGACTATGCCTGATGATTGTAAAATTGGTCAATCCTAATTTCACCACTGTACAGCATTCCAGGAGGGGTGTGAAATTAACTTGCAGGAGGAAACCAGAGGAGTCTGTAATTAAGACAAAACAGTACATACAACAGGATGAAGGTTTTCTAATTTCACCTTCAGTGCCCCCAATTACTAAGGGCTCTTTTCAAAATTGCTTTTCGCTTAAACTAAATACAGAAGAAGCTCTCTTAACAGACCCATTGTATTAGCTGACACTCTTCTCTTCGTGAAACATACCTGTTGAGAAAGGCAGACCCATGTGTGTTGGGAAAGGCAGACCCATGTGTGTAGTCTTTTGACCCCCTCTAGGCTGCTTATTATAAGAATGGGCCTTGGGCCTGGAACACTTCCTTACCAAGTAATAAAGAAAAGAGTCCTCACAGCCTGTGCTGGACTTGTCTCTTTGTGTGGGAATAACTGTCCCTGTTTCAGACTCAATCTGTGCTCCTCTGTGTTCTGCCTAAGCATGTGTGTCATATGGCACCTGGTCAACCCCACTACTACATCAGTTCCCTGTGCGGAGAGTGTAGCAGAGTACTCCTGCTGCTATAGCACAAAAGGAGTGCATGCAGGCCAGTCGCCCTGTGTGGCTTCAAGCACAGTTGCCTAGGCAAGCCAAGCCAAGATCAGCCAACTCCAACCCACTCCAGAGATGCATGAGAAATAACGCACAATACTTTTAAGCCACTGAATCTTGGAGTGGTTCATTATGCAAAACAACCTAACGGATACAGAGTCATCTTACACAACGCTGTGT